CGGAAGAGGAAGAGAGGGAAAATGTCAGCCCGTTTGACCTCTTCTAAATACTAGTCACTTTTTAAACCTTAATTGAATAGGAGAAAAGAGTGAGAGACGGGGAGGAGGAGAGGAGGGGGAGAGGGAGGGAGGAATTCCCTTCCTCTCCAGGCGCAGCGGGGCGGCTCTGGCCGCGGGGCGGCCGCGGGGCAGGTGGTCGTCCCTGCGTTGACCGCCTCTCGAGCCCGCGGCGCTCGGGCCGGGCCGGGCCGGCTGGGGCTGGCGCCCGCTCTCGGCTCCAGGGACGGTCCGGGGTGAGTGCGTGTCTTCGAGATCACCAGCCCGCAGGGCCGTGCGGTGGCGGGTGGCACATGCCGGCCCGTGGTGTCACTTCACCCTCACAGTGAAACACGGGGACACGGACTCTGGGAGGCGAGGGTCCCGGGCGCACGGGCAAGCAATTGCCCGTCTGCACCCTGGTCTCCGCTGCGGCTCCGTCCCCGCTGCCCCGCAGGCGGGTCCTGTGGCCACCGCGCAGCGCCCTGAGTGCTGGCTGCTCTGGTCAGTCTGTGCCGCTCCTCGCCAGAGCGCGTCTGACGGAACTTGGGGCGGGGGTCCCCTCGGGGCCGCCATGGCTGGTCCACGCTGCCCCGCACTGCAGCTGGGGGGCAGGGGGCTGCCAGAGGCCCCGCCGCCGTGGCCCCTCCTGGGCGCCCAGGGCACACGGGCGCACCGGTGGCTCTGACAGGTCAACGGCAATGTTTGCCTGGCGTTCACCGTCCGTCCCGGGCTTCGTCTGTCATCGAACCTCCTGCCTCCCCTGCACGACGCCCCTTCCTCCCATGGAGCACTTGGGGGACATACCCGCGACGCTCTGACGGTCAGCCGTTCCCCACCTGGTCACGCCCTGGGTTCTTTCTGTGTAAATGGATTTTCCTGTAAATGTGACGGGGCTGATGACCCCAGAGCAGCTCCCCACGTCTTTCGGAGCACAGAGGGCAGTTCCGGCCACTCTCTGGGGGTCTTCTCCCCAGAAGCCGTCACCGCCTTTACACGCAGGGAAACCCTGAAAACCGGTCTTTAGGCTGCTCCCAGGTTTCCCAGCCCCCACCTTGCGGGGTGGCCCTTTGAGGAAAGTTCGAGCCGTGCAAGCCCCGGCGGACGCAGGGCGGGAGGTCCGCCAGGAAAGACAGTGTCCTGGAGCTGGACGCGCCCTGTACCAAGGTCCCGAGCCGTGGAGCTGAGGATGAGCCTGCGCCTCCCCGCCCTGCCACCCCAGCGTGACGAGCCCGCGGCACGTCTTCGGGCCACTCCGCCACTTGCCAGGTCTGGCTTCTTAGCCGAGCGCCCCGCTGCCTTGTCCCAGGGCAGCAAATATTTGCCCACGCAAAGAGCGAGTGGGAGACCTCAGGCCAAGGGCATTAAGAAATACAGCATTTCCCGTTCACCTAACCTGATGGGACGTTTGGTCCAGAGAACGCTGCTAACAAAAAGTTGTATTTGCAGTCATTCTTGAAAAAGGGTCTCCTTTGAACTAGCCGAGAAACCAAGGCACCCGGAAGCTCCGTACGGGGGTCTGAAGGTTAGTGCCCCTGATGAAACTCATGAGAAATCGTAGCCCCCGAAGGCGGTGGTTCGGAAGTGGGGCCTTTGGGAGGTGATGAGGCCCTTGGGGAGGAGCCGTCACGCCAGTGTCCTGCAGAAGCGCCCCCTCCCGAGTGCCCTAGCTCCCTCTGCCGTGTGAGGGCACAGCAGGAAGCTGCCGCCTCCGAACCAGGGTCCGCAGCCTGGCCTCGACCTTGCAGGTGCCCTGCCCTGGGCTTCCAGCCCCCGGAGCTGTGAGAAGGGGCCTCAGTTTTTCGTCAGCCGCCGGGTCCGCGGGCTCCTGTGGTGGCAGCCTGCACAGAGGCGGACGCAAGGCAATGTGGTGACGGTGCCCGCGCGTGGGAAGGCGCGCATGTGCTCATGGGGAAGCGGGACAGCCCCCAGCGGGGAGCCGGCCGCCGGCCCCTTGTTCAAGGTCAAGCTGGGCCGCAGGCTTCGACCTTCCTCCCGGGAGACGCGTGATGCAGGGGTTGTCTTCCTTCTCGGCGCCTGGCATGCTCGTGCCCAGCAGCCCCCGCACCCGCCTCTGACCCCCCAGCCGTGGCCGCCTCCTGCACGTGCCCATCACCCGCCGCGTCCTCACGGCGAGGCCACCGGGCGCTGCCTCCCGCCTCCGTGGCTCCCTCTCCTCCCGAAGGTCAGGCTGGCCTGGGGAGGCCGAGGTGGCTTTTCAACTTTTGTCCTTTTAAATAGACTTGCTTTTTTAGGGCAGTTTTAGGTTCACCGCTAAGGTGAGGAGAAAATTCAGAGCTCTCTCAGGCCCCCCCGTGGTCCCCCCCCCGCCCCCGCCCAGCGCACAGCTTCCCCTGTCCTCACCGGCGCCGTCCGTCCGTCCGTCCGCCCCATTCGACGAACCTGCGCTGACACCTCGTCCTCGTCGCCCAGAGCGCCCAGTCGATGCGAGCGCACACTCTCGGGGCTGCACGTTCTGTGGGTTTGGACACGTGTCTCACGGCGGGGGTCCGCCATCACAGCGCCCACCGAGCACCTTCGCGGCCTGAAAGGCCCCGCGCTCCCGCTGTCCGCCCTCCCTCCCGCCAGACCCGGCGGCCGGGCTCTTCCCACCCGCGCCACAGGTCCTCGGTCCTTCCCAGGAGGCCCGATCGCTGGAGTCCCACGGCAGGGAGCCTTCTCAAACGGGCTTCTCTCCCTTAGCGATGGGCGCCTCCGCTTCCTTCCTGTCTTTTTGGGACTTCGTAGCTCGTTTCATTTGAGCGCTGGATTTGTTCTGCTGCCTGGACAGAGGCCTCGGTGTCAGAAGAGAGGGCGGGGCTGAGCCGTGCACGAGCTGCCCAGCTGGAGAGTCTTACGGGGCCCGCCCCGGGGTGGGGGGCCGACACCCTGAGATGGCCCCCGCCCCTCAGAGCGCAGAGGGGCCTGGGAGGCCCGGGTCACTGCAGTTCTCCCTGAGCGTCCGCTCCAGAGTGTCCCTCTCAGAACACGGCTGCGGCAGGCGCGGGGCAGGCCCCCGCACCGCGCACGTGTCGTTTTGGTGTAAATGGAGGCCATATCCTGGTTCCCGGAGACCGACGGCACGAGACAGAGAGAAGGAAGCTGACGACCCCACCCGGGCCCGGAGCGCCCTGCGCTCCCGGCCGCGCTGTGCGCCTCGCGCCTGTGGCCCCGCCCCCTGCGGCCTTGTCCTTGTCCTTGCGTCTGTCTAGCGAGTGTAGTGCGTGGCCACACAAGAACAGGAAGCCGGAGGCACGTGCCCAGGGTTAGCGCAACGTGTGGGCCCGTCGGTGCCCCTCCCCCGCCGCGTGATGGGCCCACAGGCAAGGCAGTCCCAGTGGCGAGTTTGAGGAGCCCCGAGTGGGCGGGGGTGCCAGCCCCGGGCGCTGGTCTGGGGGCGACCCCATACCCTGGCGGGGCCGGAATGCAGGCTGGGGGCCCCCAAAGGAGGCCAGGGCTTGCACGGCTCACGGCTTCCTCAGGACCTGCCTGTGCTCCCTGCTGGGCGGCACCGACCGTCTGCCCGCCCTTGGGCCACCAGGCGCCTCTGCCTGGCTCCTCCTGGCGCCCAGCTGGGGACCCGGAGAGCGAGGAGGTGGTCCCACCGCGCAGGACCCCGACTCACATGCCTGGCGCCTGTAGTCATTTACACTGGACTTTGCTTCTCTGCACCGACCTAACGCACGTGGCTGGATTCTTGGCCGTTTGACCGTGGGCCTCGTGTGGGTGCCCAGTGAGCAGGCCCCAGCTGTGCCTCCAGGGTGCTCTGGGCGGAACGTGGGACTATGTATGCCACACCAGGCCGGCTTGGGCCCTTTGACCACGACCTCCAGGGGAAGCCGGGTGGCCAGACTGGGCGCCTTTGCTGAGAGCCGCGGTTCCCAGAGGGCTCCGAAACCTGGCCAGGCCGCTGCAGCCCAGCCGTCCGTGTGGGAGTCGGGCAGCTCCGAGGCTGCCCTCCCCCGCCCCGCCCCTCGGGGGCCGAGGGCTGCCTGCCATCTCCCACACACCTCGGCAGAAAGTCCCTGGCCGCCCTCCAGGCCGCCTCGCCGCTGACCCCCTGAGGTGTGAGGAGGAGGAAAGGAATCCGCGTTCCGGCTGGACCTTCCTTCTTCCTTTCGGAGAAGCAGCACGGCCGCCCCGCCTGCCAGGCCCCCCATTCGCGGAAAGGCAGCGGGGGGCTGGGCCCGGAGCCTGAAATCAAGGGCCGGGCCGTCTCTGGGGGTCCGAGGGACGTGTCCATCCGGCTCTGTCCAGCCTGCGGGGCCGCCCGCCAGCCTGGCGTCCCTGGCTCACGGCCACATCGCCCCGTCTTCCCGGGGGCGTCCAGGCAAGGCAGGCTGCGTCCCCTCTCAGAAGCTTATCGGTCCCCCTGCATCGAAGGCCCCCACCCCAGGATGGCCTCCTCTTCCCTGGTTACATCTGCAATGATCCCATTTCCAAAGAAGGGCACAGTCTGAGGTCACTGGTGATCATGAATTTGGGGGGACCCTCTTTGATACACAACAGAGCCCCCCACCTTTCCTGTGCCCTCTGTCCAGAGCCGGCCCTCGCCCCGAGCGGGGGGCCCTGCCTGCTTCCCTCTCCAGGGCTCAGGCAGGCCCAGGACCGGTTTCCTGAGATAAACCGGCACCCTTGCTGCAGGGGCCCGGCCGGCCGGTGGGACAGGGGGGCACCCTTGTCTCCTTGGGACAGACAGCCTCCTGCCCCGGGGCACCCGCTCCGGGCTTCCCCGCTCCACAGAGGCACCCCCAGACGCCTTGGCTCTGACCCCCCCGAGCACGCCGACGGGCCGCCCCACACCAGGGCTCCGGCCCAGACGGGGAAAGCGACGCTCGCTCCTCAGCCCCGCTCCAGGCCTGGTCTGGTGGCCAGCCCCCTCCTGGGGGCCGAGGCCCCCGCTCCCAACCGGGGCAGGAGCGCGGGCCCCCGGGCCCCCCGTGACCCGGCTGACTGTTTTCCAGGCTACCTGACCAAGCTCCTGCAGAACCACACCGCCTACGCCTGCGACGGGGACCGCCTGGACCTGCAGTGCCCGCGGCACTCCACCATCAGCGTCCAGTCGGCGTTTTACGGGCCCGGCCACCGCGCGTGCAGCGCCCAGCAGCCCGCCCCCCGGGGGGAAGACCGCTCGGCCTGCGTGGCTCCCACCGCCTTGCAGGTACCGCGTTCGCAGGCGCCTGAAGATGGCGGCGTGGCTCTCCCTCCCCGTCTCCGCCTCCGCCTCCCTCTGTAGACACGCTTGTGATTAGAAAGTTCACGCACAGCCGCCCTGCGCCGTGAACACCCCAGTTAGTGCAAATCGCCAAGGCCGCAGGTGAGCTGTCGCTTGCGTCTCAAAAGGGTTCTTTACCAAAACCAGCCCGAGGAGGATCCCCAGGCCCTGGAGAGCGCCCTTAACACACTTGCGCTGCGACGGCGTGCGTGGCCCCGACAGGCTCCCCCGCCCCGCCGCACGCCCCGCAGCGCCCCAGGGGCAGGGAGGTCGGCGTTGCTCCAGGGGAGACCTCGGGACCCCCGGGAGGCTCTGGGGGAAGGGAGGTGCCGTGAGCGTCTCTCGGTTTTCTCGGTTGGAGATAATCATGTCATTCTCGTCCGGAGCGAGGACTTGGGCAGCCTCTGCGGATCCGTCCTTCACCGGACGGTACCGGGAATTTGGGGGCAGCGGGGCGGGCCGGGCTGAGCCATTCTCATTGCCGCTGGCGTTAGGGAAAGAGTGAGTGCAGGAGGCGGTCCAAACGAGAACTTCAGAGACGATGTCAGGATTCTCACGCCTCACAACTCTCCGAGCAAGGTCCGCTGCGCGGGCCCCTCCGCGCGCGTGGGTCGCTGGCTGGCGCTGCGGAGCGCCTTGGCCGCGGAGGCTGCCGCGCCTCCGGGGTCCCGCGTGCGGCCGTTGAGGTCAGGGCGGTCCGAGCCGCTGGCGATCTGATGTCCGTTTGATGTTGTGAGGGGCAGGAAACGGGAGAAAACGCCTTTTCGGGCAGGACGAAGACGTGGAAGGACAAGAAGCTTTCATCTGTTAGCTCTGCCCCCGGCCCCAGAGCAGAGGCCCAAACAACTCAACAGCGTGAGGGTTTCCCGTTTCTCACACCCCCCGTCGCTTCCATTCCCAGCGCCGTGGTGTCTGTGTAGTCACGTGATGGCTAAAGACGCCCGCTGGGTAGCCAAACGCTGCATTTGCGGGAATCCCCCGAGGAGGTTTCCACGCCACCTCCCGAGGAGAGCGGCCCCTCCCCCAGGCGCCCCGCCTGCCCCGGGACCGCCCCCCCCTCCCGGCCTCTCCAGGAGCTGCATTCCTCTCAGCGGGCCCTGCCCCTTGCCCTGCTCCTTGCCCAGCGGCCCTGCCACCCTGGCTGCCTGCGGCCCTCCCAGGCGCATACAGGGAACCGTGGCCCGTGCCAAAAGGGCAGGGAGCAAGCCTGGTTTGTCCAAGTAGGGACTCCCAGCCCCCTGAGCTCCGAAGCATGGCCACCGCCTCCCTCCAGCCTGAGGGGGCGATGCTCTGCTGCCAGGCCAGGCGAGCACGTGCAAACACGGCTGTGGTGTTGTGTTAGGGGCGCGCCCACCGGACACGTCCCCGTGCACTGCTCCTCCGCCCAGAGGTCCCCGGCTTCCTGCCTCAAGCTGCACGTGGGAGCCGAGGCACTCTGCTTCCTCCGAGGGTGGTGGCCGCACACGGGGAGGGCACCGGCTGCCGTCCACGCCGCAGCTGACCCAGCCGGGACTCCGCCCACGGGAAGCCCCTCTGCTTTTCTCAGTGGGGACACACGTGGGAAGGGCCTGCCTTTGGTCCTGCTCCGAGTGCTGTTGTTTCAGAGCAGCCCTTGGCCATGACCAAGTGCCCCGTCACCCGTGGGCTCTCAGGGTCTCTTGGGCGTTGGTCCTGGTGTCAGACGCGCCTGCTGGGCCACCTCCTTCGCGGAGCTGCCGCGAGAAACAGTGTCCGTGACCCGCTGCCTCCCGCAGCCTGGTGCCCGGGGCAGGGTTCCCGGGGACTGCTGCGGGTGTCCTTCGGCCGCGGGCGGGGCCAGGGGGCCGAGAAGGGGGCGACACGCGGGGCCTTTCTGGGGCCCAGCACAGGGTCCATGGAGCGGGTGCCTCCCAGGAGGGAGTAGCCCGGAGAAGCCAGGAGAGAGTTGGAGGAAGTGGCTCAGCCACACGCTTGGGAGAGCGCCCGCGTCCCCAGGCGCCGGGACTCGAGGCTGGCCAGGGTGGAGCCGCTTTCTTCCCTGTTGTGCTGAGTTTGGGAGTGGGTCTCAGGTCTCCCCAGATCCGAGCTTTCTGTCCTGAGGAGCTGTGACTGGGATTCCTGGTCCCCGCAGGGCCCTCAGAAGGGGCCGCTCCTGGAGGGGGACCTGCCAGTCCCTCCAGGGCACGCTCTGGTCTCAGTCCGTCCCCCGGAGCCTCCAAGGCTCGGCACGTTGGCGGGAACGGAGAGCCGTGGTCCCGTCTGAGGAGGACGGGGCGGGCGAGGCTGCGTCAGGCTCTTCCTCTGGGAGTAAACCCCCCCCCCCCCCCGCCCCCGTCCCCGCCCCGGGCAGCCCAGGGTGGGTCCCGCGCCGCCGGGCGTGGTTCTCCAGCCTGTCCCTTTTCTGCCCTCATTCTAGAAGGTGCTGGACGAGTGCCAGAACCAGCGGGCCTGCCACCTCCTGGTCAATAGCCGAGTTTTTGGACCTGACCTTTGCCCAGGAAGCAGTAAATACCTCCTGGTCTCCTTTAAATGCCAACCTAGTAAGTAACTGCCGAGGGGACAGTGTGTTTGGGGTGTGGGCTCCCGTGCCGCGTACCCCCCCAGGACGTTCTGCCGGCCGGTGTGGGTCCAGCTTTGAATCCCTCGTGGCTAGGAATGCGGGGCCCCGCCCTTCCTGCTTCTCGGTTTGTGTGGGTGGGCGTGTGCGGGCGTGTGTGTTTACACACATGTGCGTCCACGTGCATTTGTACGTGTGCCTGAATTGTACAAATCCTCCAACCGTGTAAAACGCAGTCGCCCTCGGGCTACGGTCCGGGCGGGGGGGCAGGACTCGGGGTCAGCACCCCGGCGGGGACACCTGGCACCGAGCGAGCCAGAGGGTGGCCGTTCTTCCCGAGCCCAGGCACTCGGCTGCCGCCTGGGCCTCCTGGGTTCCAGGTCTCGGCAACGCGGCGCGTCCCCCGCGCCCGCCGCAGGCCCCGCGCAGGGTCTGCCCACGGGGACCGGGCCGCTGCTCTCTGACTCCTGCTCTTTCCTCTGTTGGCCTTCACGGTTCTTCACGCACACGGGGCTGGGGGCGGCTCGTTGAACGGCTCTTCAGCGAGCCGGTCCCACTTCCGGGGGAGCGCGGGCCAGAGAGAGGCCACGGGCAGCCACGGCACGGGCGGCCACGGCGTGGAACTGAAACGTACGGCGTGACCTGCGCCGCCACCCCACGTGGTCATTTCGCTTCTTGCCATTCGATCTCTGTGGGTTTCTGCCTGTGAGGCCCAGCGTCTCCCAGGACACGGTGGCCTGGGAGCGGGGGAGTGGCGGGGCCGGGCCGCGGGGGTGCGACGCCGTCTCAAGGGCACGTCCGTGGAGAGGGCCCGCGGGCCTCCGGCCCGTGTCCAGGCTGCGCACGCAGGCGAGACGCTTTCCTGCGGGCCGGGTGCCGCAGGAGGGCCCCGAGGGCCCGGGGCTGTCTCCGCAGTGTGTGTTCCAGCACCCCCACACTCACGCGTTTGCACGCACGCGTGGCGCACTCACAGACACCCACGCCCACACACCCCACTGCAAGCACGCACGGTCACAGGCACGCCCACACATGCACACTTGCTTGCACCCACGGTCGCCAACGTCCCCCCAGCAGGCCCGACTTTGCACGGCAGCCTGCCCCTCCCAGGGAGCCTCATCCGCTCTGGAAAATCCCTTCTAACTCCCGGAGCCCTCGGTCCCCGGAGGCCGCCCTGCGAGTAACGGATTGGAGGGAAGGGCCTGCGGTCCAGTCCGTTCCAACTGCCGTAACAAAACTCCATCCCCCGGCTGGCCTACCAGCAGCAGTCGCTGCTCTCAGCTCCGGAGGCTGAGAAGTTCAAGGTCAAGGCACCGCAGGTCCAGTGCCTCCAGGGGACTCAATGCCTCAGCGGCGGCTGTCGTTTTGCTCTGACGTCACAGGGCAGAAGGACCCAGGGCAAAACCCAGGGCCAAAGGAGTGCGAGCCTGTCCCGAGGCCCCACCGTCCCTGCCCAGCGACCTGCCACCTGGCCCCGCCACGCTGGGCTTTGGAGCTCGACGTGTGAACTGCAGCGCCCCTGTGTACCCCGGACGCCGAGGCCCGGGGCTGCAGTGTGGGGACCGCTCCTACCGCCTCGGTCCCCATGCCTTCGGCCCCTCTTTCTGCCCCACTGTCCCAGATCCAGCCCGCGGGACCCTCCGTCTGCCCAGAGGCTCCCCGGTGCCTCCTCGGGCGCACGGAGGCAGCTCGGTCCCGTGAGCCGGCCCTGAGCTCCTCCACATGTGCTGGGAGGGTCACACCGGGCACCCGGCAAACGCTGCCACGAGGGCTTGTGCGCCCGTTCGGCTTGCGGAGAGCTGTCGTACCAGCGGTCCCCACGAGAACCTCCTTTCCCCTGAGTGTGCCCCGTGCGACCCTCCCTGGATCTTACCCCTTCAGGGAATTTTGGGTTCAGCGAGGCGTTGGCTTGGAGCAGCTCTGTATTCACAGCCCTGCCTGCTGTGCAGCTGCTGGGTGGCCTGGGACAGCGGAGGGGAGCCTTCTCAGGCTCCGGGGCTCCGTAACTCAAGTACAAGCTGAGGGTCAGGCGCCTTCTGCACTGGGGCTGTTGCCGGGGCTGAAAACAGTGCTGGGTGGAACCTGCGCAGCCCAGGGCCTGCCGTGAGGCTGAGCTTAGTCATTGGTAGCTGTTATTCCAACAGGCGGATTAAAGGAACTCTTGCTGAAGTGTGAGTGACTGAAAGGCAGCGATGCACTGATGGGTGGGAGGGCGGTGTGTGGTCGCTCTGGGTGCAGGCAGCGGCAGGGTGCGCTGTCTGGAGAGAACTTAAAAACACTAAAAAGGGACCGATCATCTGTCCGCGCCTTACCATCCCCACACGCGGGCGGCTGCGAATGAGGCCTGAATAATGTATCCCCTCCTGGCGGGTCGTGCCGCGGCGCACGATTGCAGGACGGATCAGGACCCTGTCCTCTGATTGGTGGAATCAGGTGGGGGACTTGGGTGCTGTTGTCTTTTAACCAGAGTCGTGGCTCCGCCTCCGGCGGGCCCAGTCGCTGTCCCCAGCTAAACCCACGTGGCAGGTGGCGCCCCGCGCCTGGACGGCTGCCCACCCCTTTTCTAATCTGGGACCATCGAGCGAGCTAACCTGGCTGCTCTGAAACAAGTTCCGGTTCTCTAAGAAAAGCAGCAGGCATGTCGGGGTCCCATTGTTTCAGGCCCCAGAAATGTCACTCCCAGGCGACGGTGAACTGCACATTCCCAAGGAACCAAGGGACTCCAGGACACATGACACGACAGAAACCCCCCAGCCAGTAACGCGACACCTGCAGCCCCTCCGCTGGCGCTGGCGCAGCGGACTTGCCTTAATCTGGCGGCCAATCACGGGCGGCTGCTCGTGCGTGCGTCGCCCTGGGTGGGCGTGGCTGGCGTCGGGCCACCTTCTGGGAACCGGCTTTAAAGGTGCACGGAGCTGGTGGCCGGTCAGCGCCTTTCACGACAGGCCTTAGGAAAAGGAAACTGTTGTAATTTAAAAACTTGCGAAAGGGGACGGACGGAGAGAGGAAGAAAAGGAGGACACCAGCCCTGCTAAGAGGCCCCCGCGCGCCGAGATAAGGCCTGGTGCCTGCCGCCGTCTCCTGCCCCACTTCTTGGCGCGCTCTGCCCGGGCATTCTTAGAATTTCTGGGCGTCCTCCGAGCGGGGCGGGCACTGTCGCCCTGCCGCCCAGCCAGCGCTGCGCCTCGGAGCCACAGGTCCACCGGGCCTTTGAAGCCGGGCCGTGTTTCGGCGATCCTGGAATTTCGTGTTTCTCATCGAAAGCGCTGGGCGCTCCTACCAGTGCGGACGTGGTCAGGGTAGGCTTGGCATTCTTATTTGGAAAAAGAAAACAGAACTTTTCTTGGCTCTAAGTTTAACCTGTTCCGCGAAGGTCCCAGTCACTGGGTAGAGGGCATTCTCCACGTTTGCTCAGTCACCTCCGCCGGCTCCTGGGGTCCCGGCAAATGCCAGCAAGAGACGGGGTTTGCCAACACCTGGCGCGCCCACCAGTCTCGAGGTGCCCATCGTCAGGGTTAGAGAGCAAGGCCAGGCTGACCAGCCCAGGGGCGGTGGCAACCCGAGACACAACAGCTGCCCAGGGCTCGCCCTCCCTGCTCCCTCTCTGTTCGGGGGAGAAAGGCACGGAAATGTACAAGGTCAGAAAGGTGGAATTGATGTATGGAAACTTTTTACTTTCATGTTTTCAATTTGGGGCTTAAGCTCCATCAGCTCCAGGACACGAAGGGCCCACTGGTCACCGCGGCCCCAATGTTTGCCACTCACGCTTCCAGGGACGGGAGCGGCTTTCAAACTGGTTTGATTGCACCCCAGAGTAAGGAAAACATTCTACATTTTGGCCCAATAAAATACACAAATGAAAAAGAAACTTAAATTATAAAACAGTGCTTACCCTTAACCTTGCGCAGTGCACATCGATGTTCCCTGAGCTATGCCTCATGTGTTAAAATTGCTGGTCACAACGCACTGAATTGATCTCACGGCCCGTTCGCGGGCCTCAGCCGAGACTGGCGCGGCTCCGCTCTGAGGTGTGCGGGGACCCGGCATCGCCCGCGCCCGCCTGGGCGGGGCTCGCCCGTTCCTTCCCAGAAAAGCTGACGGTGCCGCCGATTTTGTTTCTGCTTCAGATGAGCTGAAAAACAAAACCGTGTGTGAGGACCAAGAGCTGAAACTACACTGCCACGAATCCAAGTTTCTCAACATCTACTCCGCCACCTACGGCCGCGGGGCCCAGGACGGCGACGAGTGCACCTCGGAGGCACAGCGGCTGCCCCCCTTTGGTAGGTGTCTCCATGGGGCTGTCTCCGGGGGCTGGCTCCCTGGAAGGGACTCTCACCGTTGCCTGCGCTGGGTTGGAGGGACAGTAAGGAGGAACTGGCCCCGCCGGAGGGCCTCCTGCCGCCCCACACCCCGCCTCTGTCCATCGCCCAGCCGTTCCACACCGGGCAGTTGTCGGATGCCTGCTGAACGCAAGGCCCTGTCCTGGGCGTGAGGCATACTCAGTGACCAGCGGAGTCCACAAGGACCTGACCTCCCAGCAGCGGAGGAGGAGACAGTGAAAAAACAGACACTAAATGGGCTAATATGTTGTATCTCAGAGGCACACGAGTGCTCAGGGGAACACCCCATGGGGGAAGGGAGACGGGGGTTGGCGGCGGCAGAGAGGCGCGGGGTTACAGAGTGATGACGGACATGCGGGGGAGAACCTGCAGACACCTGGCGCAGGTGTCCGATAGAGCGCAGGGCCAGCCAGGGCCCCGAGGCAGCTCCACAAACCCTCCTCCTTAGCTGCCCGCGACCTGGGGCTAGGAGACAAAAGCTCTGCCCCCCACAGCCCCCGAACGCGGCCTGAGTAGTCCAGGTCCCCAGAGAAACCACCAACAGGAGACATGGACAGAGACTGACCGCAAGGACCTGGTTCAGGTGACAGGCTGCCCGTCTGAGGTCTGCGGGGTGGGCTGCCAGGCCAGAGACGCAGGTAAGGTGTTCAGTGCGAGTCTGAACTCGGCGGGCGGCAGGCTGGAGACCCCAGGCGGAGCTTCTGTGCACAGCCTCGAGAAAAGTCCTTTTCTGGGAAACCTCAGTCTTTGTGCTTAAGGCCTTCAGCTGATTGGCTGAGGCCCTCCCTCGCGGCACAGGGTGATCTGCTTTACTCAGAGTCCGCTGCTCCATCTTAAACTGCCCTCGCCGCAACATCTGGGCTGGCGCTTGAGCAGAGAGCTGGGCACGAGCGCCTCACTAAATCGACTCGTAAAATGAACCCTCACTAAATCGACACGTAAAATGAACCGTCACGTGACATGCACTCCCTGGGGCTGAAGCGGCAGATCTCCACCTGCATCGTATCGAGAGGCGAGGCCTTACCAGAAACGGCCCAAGGCATGGCACTTTGTTCACCAAAGTCTAAAACGAGTTTCTTTATGTAGCAAATTGCTACAATTTATTCATGGACCACGAGTGACATGAAACATTCATTTAAAAAAGAAAGTCATGCATCAGTAATACCTTGGATCTGAAACAAGGAACATGAAACGCCCTCCTCACACAGGCAGGCTCCCATGGGAGACCCGGGGAGGACAGAAGAGCAGGACAGGAGGCACGCGTGCCGCCAGGCCCCTCAGCCTTTTGTCACGGCCACGGAGGGTCCTTTGAAGGCAGAGCACACGCCAAGCACGCCCGAGTGGGCACGCAGCCGCTCTGCGTCGATCGGGGGACAGGGCTCCATCTCGGCAGGCTCGGCGGCCAGGCGGGCCTTTGTCCCCAGGGTGGCTGGAGGTGCATCTGCCCACGGCCCCCCGCACGCCCTGCAGGGCCTCCCCACGCTCTCTGTCTCCCCGGCTGGATGAAGCGCCCTTCGCGATCCGATCTCTTCCTGCCAAAAGGAACTCCGTTTGTTAACGTTGCGGCGAGGCACTCCGTTCTCAGGCTCGCTGAAGCCATCGTGGCGGGTGGCGACAGGAACACGGATTCAGCTCTTCGTCTGAGCCGCCGAATTCGGTCGGCCTGCGGGCGCCGGCAGGCGGAACCGTTTGCCTTTGGGGGCTGGCTGCCTCACATCCCCGCTGGGCTGGGGGGTGTGGTTTAAGGGAAAAGCAGCAGCCAGAGAAAACGCCCGCACACGCCGGGGCTGACGGACTTCACTGCTCCGTGTTTACAGCCGGGGCCCTGGCGGAGCCTCAGGAAGAAACACCTGCTCGGCCGTCTCCCCTGCAGGCCCCACACCCGCCCCGCCCTTCACAGTCCAGGCCACCTGGCTGGGCATCGAGCCCTTCCTCACCGTTCACCCAGGCCGGCTGCGGGCGGCGGGAAAGGCTCAGAGGGAGCGGGGAAGGGCCTTGAGGGTGCCGTGCACCTCGCCCCCGCTTTACCGCACTGAAGCCTGCGCTCTGGTCCCGCCTTCAGGTCAGCTAAAGGGCCAAACGGCGCGCTGTGTGAGAATGCAAACCGCGGGCTGGTACGCTTTCTCACTCCAACCGAAGGCGGGGAAACCATTCACTGCCTGGCCCGGGTAACTGCACGTGGAGGTTTTAAAGTGCACCTGGCAGGTTTGCCCCCACAAAACCATCTGCTCCTTTCTAGTGTGTAAACACATTTAAATATCTCCCACCTCACAAAGCATACTCTTTGGACCCTGCCTCCCACCGGCTGCCCGTCCTCGCCCTCTGCAAGCCCCACGGGCTCTGCCCCTTTGCTCCTAGCGCGCTCCGGGCATCTCTCCCCGGGGCCGCCCGGGCTGCCCCGGGCCTGTCTCAGACCTCCCCTCTCCCCAGTTTCCTCCCCTCCCTCAGTGACCGCGTCACTTATCAGCCAGTGAGATCTTAAGTTAAACCTGATCGCATCGCCCCTTGCTTAAACTTCTCCGCTGTGCCTTCTGTGATGGAAATAAACCCAGTCCCGCAGCTGTGGCCTGGCCTGGCCTCCCTCCCCTTTCCTCGCTCCGTCTGCGGTAGACCACCCTCTCCCACACCCCAGGGCCTTTGTGCACGCTCTTCTATTGGCCTGTCTTGTCACTTGGGCAGCGACTCAGATGTGGTCCCAGGGAGGTTCCCCAGGGCTCCCTGCCACCATGGCAGCTCCAGCCCGCAGCCTCGCAGGCTGTCCCCTGCGTGACTGTCTTCGTAACATGGACATTGTCACCTTCATGCATGTGGCTCAGCTTCCAGGAGGAGGCGAGCCCTGCAGAGAGGGTGCCTGTCTCTGCCCTGTGACCTCCCAGAGTCCCAGCACCTGCGGGTGCCGGGTAGGCATGGGGGCCCGCGAGGGGGTCAGCCCCTCCGGAGCGAGGCGCCACCCTGGGCTCCGGCGGCGGGTGGCTGCCGCCCGGAATGCGGGCCTGGAGTTGTCACAGCGCCCAGCCTCGCAGGAGACGCTGGAAATCCACTTCTGTTTTCTCTCAACATGAAATGTTCCAACTCTGTAAACATGGGGGGAGCCAACCCAAACACGCCTCCAGGCCACATCCGGCCCCGGGCTGCCCATCTGCGATCTCCGCTCTGGGTTCCCGCCATCGCTACATCTCGGCCCCGGCCCTGAGGAAGGGGGGCCTGGCCCGGAAGCAGGACCTTGCGGGACGGTTGCCCCAGGGCTGAGGGGTCGGTGTCACCCGGGCCGCGGAAAGGTCACAGGTGCTTTCCCTTTGGCGTGGATGCTGCAGGCTGGCGTGGCCCCCGGGCTTCAGAGTCCGGGTGGCGGCCCCCGGAGGCACGCCTGGGGGGACGGCTGGGCCCTGGGGCGGCTGGAGCCGCGGCTGCCGTGACTATTGCCATGTTGGCCGGTGCAGGGTCCGCGGAAGGCGCGTGGCCCCCTTGTGTGTGGCGAGGTGCTGCTGGCTGGGCCTCGGTTCTCCCCACGGGGGTCTCTTGAGGGTCCTCAGGACCTGGCCGCTGGCTCCTCCCAAAGCAAGTGATGCCGAAGAACACGTGGAGGCCACGCACCGTCCCTTCCGCCAGAGTGTGCGGGTCGCAGGACAGCTGATTCACTGCGAGGAGGCGACTCCGTGAGAATTTGGGAGGTTCCTGAGGACCCCCCCCCCCGCCCTTGGCCAACTTGAAGGCGGTCGTGGGCTGAACCGTTTCCCTCTGGAATGCACACCGTGAAGTCCTGGCCCCCAGGCCTCGGAAGGTGACTGTATTGGAAGAGAGAGACGTTAAAGAGGCGGCTTAGTTGGAATGATGTCCCAGGGGCGCTAATCCACTGCGACTGGTGTCCTCATTAGATGGGGAGATGAAGACACAGGCACACCCCGAGGCAGGCCAGGTGAGGACCTGGGGGGCGGGGCCACCCGCTGGCCGGGCGCGGGGACTCTGAGGGGCCAGCTGCGGGCGCCGTGGACTTGCCGCAGGACAGAGGACAGAAATGTCTGCAGCGCTTGCACAGCCGCCAGCGGGCACACACCAAGGTGGGGTCCCACGGCCGTGGCAGGAAAGGGGGAGGCATGAGACCCAGGCTGAGCCAGTGGGACACCTTCTCCAAGAAGCAACCCGGGATACTGCGTGTCCAGGCAAAGGCAGACCTTGTGTCTCGCCGTGAGGGCGCAGGCCCGGAGATATTTCTGGAAGAGCTAGCAAGCCAGGCCCCTGAGAACTGAGGCGCCCCCGGTAGAAGAGAAACTCAGAGGAAGGCATAAGAGCGACTGGCCATCATTGGCCCCAAACGAGGGCCCGCAAAGTGGCTCCTGAAGGGAGGGTGCGAACCTCCCCGCAGACCTGGCGCGGCCTTTGGCGAGCAGGCGTCAGAAGGGGCCCCTGACTGGGCGCCACGGTGCCGCGCCCCTTCCTGCTGCCGTCCCGCTTCTGGCCGGGCTCCTGGGATCCTGTGTTTCCTTAACAAGGGAATGAGGACGTTGCCCTGTGGGCCCGAGGTGGGGCGAAGGCCGCCCGGGGGCCAAGCGTGGGCAGGCCCGGGCTTTCCCGCGAAGATCAAGGTGCCGGGGCCGCCCGCTGCCAAAACGGCCGCCGAGGAGCAGCCGGCCTAATTACCTAAATAAACACAGGTTCTGAAGAGCCATTAACTTCAGTTTCAATGTGAAACAGTAGCCAAAAAAATGAGAATCAAATGGTTGAACATCTTGTTATCACATGCATTGGGGTGGAAGGCAGTAGGCCGGGAAGAGAGGGTGAGAAAATCCAGCCGGGAGGGAAACAAGTGCTTGAACGTGCACAGGGTCCGGCGGAAGGAAGGCCCGCTGCGTGTGGTTGGTGGGGCAATAAGGTGGGTGAGATGGTTTATAGTTGTAATTTGAATATTTCCCCTCAAATGTCCTAGGGTGTGCTTGAGTGTGACAGTGTTATGTCACAGAAGGACATGCTTATGATTTTGTAATTAAAAAGGGGGCGTTGTTTGTGCCAGGCGCCCTATGTAAATCCTACACACGGTCAGAGGTCAGTGTCAGCGGGGACGGTCAGACCCGGGCCAGACCCGGCCAGTCCTCAGCGACCGTGGCCCCTTCCTGACAACACGCTGTCACCTGGACAAAGGCATCTGCTCCCAGGGTCACGAGACGGCCCGCGTGCCCCTGAAGATGGCGCTGGCCACGGACCTGCCGGGCCGCGGGGCCCGGGTCTGTTCAGTGGGGCGCGTTCGTCCCTCTTCCTCTGTTAGCCTTCGAGAGCGAGAGCGTGGCCAGGTGCAAGCGGCCGCGTGGGGAAAGAGGCTCTTCCTGGGGCATCTGACGGGGTGGGAGCAGGAAGCGGGGAGTTGGTAGGACTTTTCTGCGGGACAGGGTGGCATTGTGGATCCAAAGCCTCCGTGTTTTGGCTTTGGCAAAGCGATCCATGGCCAAAAATTGTTGTGGAAGACATCATGCTGCGTGCCCGTGCTTCTCTGAGGACGTCCTACATGCCGTTGTTTATAACAACCGAAACATGGGAGTCAGCAGGGTATTGTAACTAGAGCTGGGCTGGTCCCGCCGTAAACGGGAAAGCGATGGCAGCGCTTTGAAATGGGGCTTATGTTAGAGTTCCCACCGATGTATTAATAAACAGAGAAAAGTAGCATGCATACAAAGCCATACGTGTGGGCCCCCTGGAGGGGGAAGGCCACGCCTGGAGGCACGACCGGAAGGATGCTCTTTGAAGGGTAACTTTTTTCTCGGTGGGATTTCCTGGGAATTTTTCTTTTCCTAGTTTTGGCCTACCTGTGATTTTCATGTTTTCAACCACAAACACGTACTTATTTTGTAACAAAAAGAACAATCATAGTTATGGTTTAAAACATCAGACTTTTACAAATAATTTTATAATTCAGATGGTTACTTCTTCCCAATGCAGGTAGTTTATACAGAAACCATTCCTCCCATTTTGAGTTGCCTTGAGATTTAAGGGATTGTTCAACGGATAAGCTTAGGCCCTGGGTAATAATGAGGCTGCCAAAGACGGCCAAGGTACCCCCACCCACAGAGCAATACAAAAATAAACTGGAAGAACGTTCAAAGAATGTATCTTTATTCCTAGGTAAACTTTTTGTGGCTCTTGGGGCAAATTGAGTTATACGAACAAATAGAACATGAGTACATTTACAAAATTTTACATTCCTAAAAATATTGCCTCGGAGACCCCCATATTAAAAACTGCCTTCTATCCAGATAGGAATTTTATTTCACGGTTTAAGAACATCTATTTTGTGCTCCTTTATGTCAGAGCGATGCAAACTAACAAAACCTGGGAAGTCTCTTAAAATTGACAGGGAAAAAAGCGCTTTCTTCCATCGGCCCAAATGAGCCTTCGCTACCCACCTGGGCAATTCTCCCGTCAAACCCCCCCCCCCCCCCCGCGACCGATCCAGGTGTGGGGTTTTAATACTTAATTCTGATCATGCGAAGCCATGTCCAAGGAGGGCACTGAACTCGCACGTTGCCCGAGGCCTAACAACCACCCGCCCTCTCCTGCGAGGTGGCCTGGTGCCGACGAGGATCCATCGGGGGCCGGCGCGGGACACGCTAAACGCAGCGCTTCGTGTAACCGTCACCCCAGCCCACGCGTCAGCCCGGGTCACGAGGGCCCGAGGTCACGCCCCGGGCCACAGGCAGAGGGTCTTCCGGGAGCTTAATTCAGGACTCTCATTCAGGCTTGGAGCGAACGGCCAGCTCTGGCTGTGCCTGCCAGGAGCCTCCCAGAAACACAGGGAAAGGCATCCCTGCGAGACACGGGGGGGCCGCCTTGTGAGCTACGCGGGCGCCAGGGCTCCGGGCACCGGCCCGGGCCAGCGGTCGGAAGGGCGCACGGCCCTTGCCCGCCCAGCGCCTGTGGTCCGATGGGAGATGCTACTAACACAGCTCAGCGTGGCACGCTGCCTGCTGCAGCCCCCAGCTCCGGGGCAACCCCCGGGGCCTGGAAGCCACGCCCGCGCTCCTTTGGGCCCCGGGGGTGGCACACCCCTCCGCCAGCCCCGGGGCCCTGCTCCTCCTCTGAGGTGTCGCACGTCATGGCTGCACCTTTGTAAACAGTCTGTGTGGACCCTCTTGCCACCGGCCAGCAGAGCCCAAGGGCCCTGCCAGGACCCGGCGGCGCCCGCTGCTCTCTGTCCTGCTCTCACTGGCTACAGAGACGGGGCGCGGCCTCGGGCGCGGCGCGGGAGGTGCGGGGACCGGCGGTGCGTCTGCCCGGCCTCCGGAAGGCAGCTCGGCGGGGGCCGGGGGGGTGCACGGGCGGTGCAGGGAGCGCCCGCCATTCTCGCGACCCTGTCCTGCCTTTCAGACTGCGTGTCCTACGCGGCGGCGCACGTGCTGTCCCAGAGGTGCTACGGGAGGCAGAGGTGCGAGGTCCTGGTCAACAGCCGCCACTTCGGGAGCCCCTGCCCGCCGGGAGCGCGGCAGCGCCTCGCCGTCACCTACGCCTGCGGTAAGGACGCGCCGCAGCCGCGCCGCGGCCACGTGGCCGCCGCCCAGCGCCTCCGCTCCAGCGGTGGGCACGCCCGATGCCCCAGGGCCCTTCTCTGCCCTCCGCTGCGTTAATGGCGCTCACCTCAGATCAGCAGCAGAACCTCCTTCAGGCCACGTGGGTTTCAAGGCTCTTGTAGCCGACAGATGGGCCGTGGATGGGCGGGTAGGGAAGCAGCAAGCAGTGGTGTCCGCGGGTGTCCCTGAGCGCAGCGACCCTCGCCTGGGTCCTTGGGAGGCTCCGGCGTCCGCGGGGGCGACGTGAGCGTTCACAGAAGCGCAGTTGTCCCTCCCGCCCCGCTAAGGCTCTGAGTGACGAACTCTCCGTGCGGCCCCTGCACCGCGTGACCGTGATGCTGGGCCGGCAGGGCCGGCGCAGACCGGAAACCATGAAACGCTACTCGACACTGGTGTTCTGTGCCTTGAAATGACCAGATGAAATGCCGGGTCCGTTAGAGTCCTGTTTTACAAAACTGCCTGCGCGGGACCCGGCAGTTCACCGTTCTCGGAGCTGAGGAGGGTCTCCAGGTTGCAATCCAGATCCGGGGGCTGTGGCTGCTGTGTTTGTTAATGAGCATGAAGGGAAAGGGTGACAGAACACGCCGGGACGGTGGCTGTGCTCACGGAGCCTCTTCCCTGCCCGTTTCCCGAGGCGTTTTGTCCCCGTTTTATCGAGGCGTAATTCGGGGGTGGGGCCCTTCGCCTGTGACGTGTATGAAGTGTTGGTTTGAGGGTGGGCACAGGGGGAAGCCCCGCCCCCGTGAGCAGTCACCTCCCGGTCCCCGCCCCCCGCCCCGCCCCCCCCCCCGCCCAGTCCTGTCGCTGTGAGTCTGCCTGTCCCGGACGCCGGACGGAGTCGTGCTGCCTGTGGTTCTTTGTGCCTGGCACCCTTCCCAGGCACGTGGTAGCACGCGTTGGAATTTCAGTCCTTTGCGTGACCTGCTAATTTCCCGCTGCGCCCCCAGCCTTTTTTTATCCTGAGCTCATAACGTCCTCAGCAATATCCAAGCTGAAATGGGTGCAGTGAAGTGACGGCATCGGCGGACTTCCACGTCGCAGCACCCAGATGTCTGTTCTGGGTCTTTCTGTGCCTGGCAGCTGTGGGCAGCGGGGAGCCCGCCCTGGCTCAGGTTCCCGAGGAGCCACGGGGATCCCTCACGCGCTTGTCCTCGCGGCGCCCCCCCCCCCGCGGCCGCGCGTTGGCGGAGGAGCGGGCGTCAGCCCACAGAGGAGGCAGATTTCCTGCGCCTCCAAGCACGAGGCAAGGGCAGGTCCCAGGGCGGTGGCTTTTCTGAGTGAAGAGAAGGGTTTCAGGGTCTGTGTCCCCGTTCAAACTTCTTCTCCAGTCTCTCATTCAGCACATCAGGGGCATGTTCTGTGTGCAGGGTTGTGCAGGGAACTATGGGTTCAGCAGTTACAGAGAAGGCATGCTCCTTTTCCCATGGAGCTATCGGCTGGGGGAGAGAGACAGACATTCAGCAACTAGCCAGGGCAGTCTGTCGCCACTGCTCCTGGCCAAAGCCGTGTCTGACGGGCGCAGGGAACCCTGGGAGCGGCCAAGGCTGCGGGCGCGGCGGTCTGCGGGAGGTGGGGGCAGGGAGCGGGCAATGGAGGGGCGCAGATGGGGCAGGGCAGAGCTGCCAGCGGGAGGCAGGCGGGGCGGGGGGTGGGGCCCGGTGCCCAGGACCCGGTCCTGCTGCCTGGCCGGGGAGCCGGGACCCGCGTGGTCCTTTCTCAGGGTCTCGGGCGGAACCCCCGCCTGCCTCCCGGGAGGCCTGTAACGCTGGCTGCCCCCCTCTGCCCGGCTCTCTGCGTCCCCGTTTCCTTGCCCTGGGGGGCCGGGCCCGTGTGGGTCTCGGAAGTCCCGTCCGGCTAATGGAGAAGCAAGGGGTCCGAGAGCAGCGGGTGAAGGCGTGTGGGGGGCTGGAGGAGGTCGGCGTGGGCTCCGCTCTGTCCAGCTGCCCCGTGTCACTGCATTTCGGGGAAGTTCACGTGCAGGGTCAACAGCACCTTCAAAGTGCAATGCATATACCTTAAAGCCCGCCCATTTAAGCAGAAACGGTCGGTTGGTTTCTAATCCGCTCACAGAGCTGTGCGGCTGACCACACTGCAATTTTAAAACGTGCCCACGACCCCCAAAAGCTCCTCGTGCCCCTGGGTGGCTGGTCCCCATCCCCCCACCTTCCGGTCCTAGGGAACCCCAACACGGCCTCTGGCTCTGTCACGTGACCGTTTCTGGCACTTCCATGGCAATGGACACAGGCAATACCGGGTCTTTGTGCTTCTTTCTCAGGTTCGTCCATGTTGCAGCGTGAATTGTGTTCTAATGGGTAGACATTCCATATTTTGTGTATTTATGCTCCTGGTTGTTTTTTAAACACTGCAAGATCGGCCGAAACCCCCTTCTGGGGTATTTGATGACCGCGCAGGTGGCCCTGGGGGGCGTGTGTGTGAGACAAGCAGAGCGGTTAACGTGCCCACGTGCAAACTGATTTTCTCATCTTCTCTATACCCATCGCATTTAAATCATACACTAAATGGATAAAGTCTTTGAAATGTTCCTTTTTGGTTTTTAGTTCCCAAGAACATACTCAGAGCGATCGACCCGGCCGTCGCCGACCCGAAACCGTCTTCGAAGCGGGAGCACGGCGACCACGGTGAGGCGTGCGGCCGGCCGGCCCCCTCGGGGCCCAGTGAGCGGTCAGGGGTGCGGCGGCGGGCGGCTGCGCGCGGTGGCCAACATTTCACCTTGTTTTTAAAACTACACCTAAAATAAGCCCTCCCTCCATTCCCCTCTCACTTCCTGGAAAATCAGATCAAAAAACCACCTGCACAGAAATAAAAGCGGGGACCCCACGATGAAAGGGGGGACGTTCGGCACCTGGGTGACGAACTCTCTGTGCGGCCCCTGCGCCGCGTGACCATGATGCTGGGCCGCCTTCCCCCTTCGGTGCTCGCTGCGCTCTGCCCACGCGGGGCGGACGCCTGGGACTCCCGGTTAAAGCGAGAATGCAATTCCAACCCGTGGGGCCCCTGAGAGAAACCCTTGAGCGCCTGTTGAGATCCTGGGCTCTGGGCGGTGAAGGTGTAGTTCTGCGTTACCTTTATCAGCCATACGGGGTCCGTTCCTCCTGAATCTACGGAGTCTGCGTGCCGGGAAAACGCGGGGAAGCACAGGAAACAGAGGCCACACGTGGCCTCAGAGCTGCGGCGTCACTGCGGTCCCCGTCCCACGGCCTCGTGCCGCGCTCCGGGAGCCCGCAGACCCCCGGGGCCCCCGCAGCCGCCGCCTCAGCTCTGCGCCGTCCTCCCTCAGAGGCTTCGGCCTCCCTGACGTCCCCAAGGTCCCCGCGCCGCACGGCCGCCCCATCGGCAGCCCCCAAACCACCACCGAGTTTAACCAGGCATCCGAAACAGAGCTGCCCTGCACGTCTCTGTCATTTCCAGAAAAAAAGGGACCCACCGCGGCCGCCTCCGTGACTCGAGGCGGCTCTTCGCTGTGCTCAGCAGGGCGGTCGGCCACTCTGCAGATGAGTAAGACGTCACTAGGCGTGACGAATGCCATCGCCTGAGGGACGGAAAATAAACCCGTTCCCTTCAGCAGGGGGGCGGATGAGCAGCACCTGAGCTGGAACTGGCACGTTTTAGAATTTCTAAACCCCTTTCACCGCCTGGCCGTTATTCGGGGACTTCCTAAGTGCTCCTGCGGGCGCGGCCCTTGTTTGATCTCTGTGGCTTTTGTTTACCCGGGCGGCAGGCCGGTCGCCCACAGTGAACCGGTCCTGCCTTTTTCATGCGCCAGGTGTGAACGTTGACCCCAGCGAGTCGAGAGTCCCGAAGAAAGACGCGGTCATCGTCAGCAGCTCTCTGGCCGCCTTCGCTTACATCAGAGGTAGGTCGATGGATCGGGGATCGGGGGGACATGTGGTTTGATTACTGCGCTCTGAGAGCTCAGGAAAACTGACTTAGAATTTGACCTGGCGACTGGTCTCCTGAGCTCCCGGGACACAGAGGCCTGAGTGCGGGCACAGCTCCAACCCGGCTGCCAGCAGAAGAGCCACCGAGGGAGGTAGCAGAGAGCCAAAGTCACACTACGGAGGGGTCAGGCTCCACGGGTGTTTTCCGCTTTGAAAAGGCCGCACCGGAGGGGTGCATTTCCCAGCTCACACATGTGGGCAGGGCCCGGGATTAGTGAGTTCCACCCTCGGCTGGAAGGAAATTGAGCCAAAAGATCACTTAGTCAACAAAACAGGTCCTGCTCTGTGAAGACAGAGTCCCTTCCTGAGTCACCACTGTTACTTCTCCTGGTTGCCAAGGTTTCCCTTGATAATCTCCCCTCGGGGACCAATGGGATGCGGCCCTTTTTAATCGGCAGAGCCAGGCACACCGGGCGCAGGCGCGTGCACCCGGCCAGAGCGCGGAGCGTCGGCTCTGCAGGTTGCGGCGGAGACTCCGCTCTGGAGCCAAACCCCGTGAGGCCTTCTGTGACGCACACGCCAGTGTAACACACGGCAGTGTCTCCAGCCCGGGGTTCCGGCGCCGGCCCGTTTCAGGGGCGCCTACCCCGGGGGAGAAGGAAGGCGCGCGGAGCTTTCGCGACAGATGCAGCGGCCCGGCCCCGTGCTTCCCTCCAAGGAACGCCTCTTTCCTGCCCGCTCCCCCTCGTCCCCAGTTTCTTGGTGTCCCCAGTAATTGCCAACGTTAAGAGATGCCGGGGTTTTTACTGTCAGAAGCCTCCCTGTTTTTTCAAAGCCCCTGGGCAGCCCTTGGAGCAAAGTCGCCATGAAACTCCTTCGAACGGAGAAGGGCGATTCCGGGGAGACGCGATGAGAGGGCCTGCCGGGCCCGCGGGGGCTGCCCGGGCAGGAAACCTCACACTGGGGGCCTCACGGGGCAGAAATGTCTGTCCTTCCCGTTGCGGAGGCTGGAAGCCCAAGATCAGGGTGCCGGCAGGGGTGGGGACGAACAAGGGCCGCTTCCTGGCTTCTGGATGGCCGCCCCCCTCTGCGTCCTCCCAGGGAGACACAGAGCTCTCGGGCGTCTCCCCTCAGAAGGACACTGGTCCTTGTGGATCAGGGGCCCGCCTTAGCGCCTCCTTGAACCTTAGTCACCCATCCCCCCACGGTTCTCCCTCCAGATACAGTCATGCTGGGGGGTCAGGCATCACCCCATGGATCGGGGGACACGATTCGTCCATAGCGATGGGCCCGAAAGGAGACTCTGATGCCTTTTCTGCCCCTAAGGAAGCTGAGGGCCGGAGGAGTCGAGCCACTTGCTGAGGCCACAGCGGGGACGTTGGCGGGGCCAGGACCCGGCGTCAGCCGGTGGGAGGCTGCGCTCGGCTTCTCGGGCACCAGCCCAGCCCGTCCGGAACAGGGCGGACGGAGACCCCGCGCCTCGGCCTCGCCGACCCAGCCACCGTCCACCCGCCTGCGGCCCGGTCCGCGCCCCGCACCCCCTGGGCCACAGGGCTGACCGCAGCGCCCGCCTCTCCCCCAGACGTCGGCGTTCCAAGGGCGGCCTTGGTCACCGGCGTCACGGTCACGCCCCAGCGGGCAGGACAGCGCCGGCCCTGAGGCCGCACGGCGAGCGGCTCACAGACGCAGGGGGCGGGCCCTCCCGCTGTCGCGAGCCGGGCTTATTATTGGCTCTTTTTGCTATTTATAGGAATTTAATCTTAAAGAAACGTGCAGACTCGATGGGTTGCCCGGTTTTCCTGAGGGGCGTGTAGGTGCATCCTGCTCAGCAGGCCGCGGCCGCGCCAAAACTTCACCTCCGAGACGGAGAGGCGGCCCGGGTCGGCCGCCAGTGACAGGGGCTCCCTGGGCCTCTCGCCCGTCGCAGGTCATCCTGGGTGTGGGCCCGCGTCCCTGGGGCCAGGGGAGGGCGCGCCCGGGGGCGGGCACCACAGTCCTGCGCGACAGGAGCCGGCGCCCCGGGGTGCCAGACCAACCCCGCGGAAACCCGAGGGCACGGCGCACTCCCACGTCGGTCACACGGGGTCCTGTCAGGGAGGCGGTCGGACGCCAGCGCCGCCTCGTCACCGAGGTGTGGGCTCGGGCGTGTTCCCACGGTCCCTGATCGTGGGTCCGTGACAGGCGGTTGCTGTCACGTGAGCCAGAGCTGTCGGGCCCGGGCCCTGGGCACTCACCCTGCAGGCGGCCGTGGGGCCCCAGGAGGCGGGGCCTGCGCCCTGGCCCTGGAGGCTCATTCGGACACAGGTAAACTTGAGCTGGAGCTTGCGTTGGTTCCAGACCTGGGATCCGAGGCGCAAAGGGCCTCCCAGGCCACGGCCACCGCCGCGAGGTTCCCGGGGGCTCACGGGCGTCGCTGCCTTGAGCCTGTGATGAGCCCGCGGAATGGAAACGCCGCCTGCAACGGCAGGGCGCGAAGACCGCTCAGCCGCCGGAGACCAACACCTGTGTCCTCCCGGATGTGGGCGAGGAGCAGGGGTCTGCTGGCTTCCAGGACATGTGCCTGTGGCGTGAAGGTTGGCGCCGTGGGGAGAGCCCGGGCCTGGGCCCCAGACCCCGGCCAAGGGGCAGCTTTGGACCGCGGGCAGCGCCGGGCCGGCCCACCCACAGGGTCGCCTCTAACGTCCGGCGATTCTGTGGCGGCGGGAGCATCGCCGCAGGTGACTAGAAAGCCTCGTTCCGGCGGCTGGCCAGGGCTGCCCGAGGGCTCCGTCCTTGATCGCTGGATCTCAGAGGGCGCGGCGTAGATGCGGCTGGGAGGGTGACCACTCCACAGGGGGCGTCCCTGAGCCAAGAGCCACTTGAGTGAGCGAGCAGCTCCCCTGCCCGTGGGATCAGACACTCGCCTCCTAGGAGAAGACGGGGAGAGGATGGCCAGCAACTCATGTTGCGGGGTGCCTCCCACAGGGCACCCCCACCCTGAATGCTTGGCTCTCGGCCCCGCTGACCGCGCTCGCGGGCACCGTGTGAGCCCTGCTGGGCCCCAGGCGGGGTATCTGGCGAAGAACAGGGTGGTCGGCCCCACCCTCCGGAAACCTGCATCCAGTGGGGCCAGAAGGAACCGACAGGCTCCGCGATTCAGTGACGCTGCAAGACAAGGGGGCCTGGTCCAGACGGGGGCGGGGCACGAAGGGCTGGATGAGGAGGGAGGGAGAACCTTCCGGCAGAAGGGCCGGCTCCTGCGGAAGCACCGAGGCGCAAAGCCCCCAGCCCCTGCGAGGCGTGGGGCGAGAGCAGAGGGCGGGGCGGGGCGGGGCCGGCCTTCGAGCGGCCCCGGGGGTGGGCGGGGCAGGCCGCAGCATGTCCTCCGAGGCCGTGGTCGGGACGCAGGCAGTGGGGGGCGGGCGGCCCAGTGTGTGTTTTAAAGAGCCCGCGTTGGCCGCCGCAGGGAAGGGGGGTGGAAAAAGAGCAGGGCAGGGCGAGGCGGGGCGCGGGGTGCGGACGACGGGTGCCATCACCCCAGCTTTTCGGAGAAATTCCCGCCTAGGAGCCGCCTCTGATAGAGCCAAGCCGCTCGCCGGGAGGCAGTCACCACGCGCATGCTCGCAAATGACTGCTGTCAGGAACACAGACACGGAACCGTTCTTTACACGTGAGAGAAAAGGCACAGGCGACCCAACCGAGACAAGAGCGGGCACATGACATGTGCCGGCGTTTTGAGAAGAGGGAAGACGGCCATCGGAAGGGAGGGGGACCTGGGATCAGAGAGACGCAGGTTGAGACCGTAGGGAGATACCATGTTGTCCCTGTCACCAGAAAGGACGGTCAGGTCCGCCCGGGCCAGGCGCTCGGGGAGACAAGCGGCCGCAGCCCCTCATGCATCACAGCTGCTTTGGAAGCCCCTGGGGACGTGCTTCCTAAAATCTGCCCCCCTTACAGCTCATCCAGTTCCCTCCCAGGTCCATGCGCAAGGGAAGTGCTTGCTCAGGTGCACAGGGCACTGACCGGAAGGGGCACAGGGCACAGGGCACAGCGGCAGTGCCCGCTGAACGTGAACTGGGCACCAGCCCAGATGCCCCCCGGCGGGGGCGAGTGAGTCGGCCACGCTGCGGTCAAGACCAGCGGTCCCCAACGTTTTTGGCACCAGGGACCGGTTTCATGGAAGACAGCTTTTCCACAGACGGGGGTGGGGTGGGGTGGGGTCGGGGCGGGGGGGGCAGGAGGCAGAGCTCAGGCGGAGATGCTGCGAAGCTTTGCCTGCTCGCCTGCCGCTCCCCGCTGGCTGTGCGCCCGGCCCCTCGCAGGCCACGACTGGAACCATGCACGGCCGGGGGGTTGGGGACCGCTGGTCAAGACTATGGAGGCGAACAAGGCAACGCAACGTTCAGTGAAAACACCCGCCCCCAGCCAGGGCTGAGAGACAGACAGCGAGGCAACGAACTAAAGGGCAAGCAGGGCGGTAATGACCGAGGATTCGGGGGGTTACCTCCCGGGGAGGAGGAGGCCCAGGCTGGACACAGGCGTGGCCGGGGCCCCGCCCCCGCGCCTCAGGTCTCGGCGTCACTTTGTGTGGTGTTTAACCACGTCCCAGGTGCCACCGCTCCCAGAAATGAAAGGCCCTTCCTTCTTTGACAAAGGATCCGTGTCTCCGTGTGACCAAATCTTCCAAACACCCGGACGTGTAGGGAAAGCCCGTTGTTATGAACGGCGCTGCAGGCGCAGCTCACCGCCGCCCCCGGCCAAGGCCACGTTTGGGCCAAGGCTCCGGTGCCGTGAGGGGCGAGGAGCCGGCGCTGGTCAGGGCCGCGGCAGCGAAGGACGCATCTGAGTCGGCGACTCCGCTGAGGCTTGGCCGCAAGTGGAGGAAGCCGAATGGGGAGGTTTCGAGTTTCGGGAAGATACCGCGTCCCACTTAGACCTTTCCTGTCAGGTCGCGGGCCCGGGATCCGCTGCCTGGACAGGATGGGGAGCCCCCTCAGGTGCTCAGGCTGCAGCCTGGCCCCGGGGGCAGGACGGGGTGGCGCACAGAGTCTTCACCGTCAGTGGGGAGCAAAACGGGGTCCCTGCAGCGGAGTGGAGCAAAGGGGTCGCAGACGCACGGCCGCAGGCAGCCCTCAGCTCCAGGCCTGGCTCCCCCCGAGGGGCCAGCCCTCTCGAGGTGGGTTTCAGGCGCAGCCGCACGTCAGCCTGTGCGTCCAGGTGGCAATCCACATCCTCGGGCCAGCGCACGACGACGTTTGATTAGAACGCAGGACACCTGTGGCTGCTTGCAGGCCGCAGCCACAGAGCGGAGCTGTGGGAGCGCAGGTGGGGGGGCCCGCAAGCCTGAGGGAACCTTGGTGCCCCTCCCAGGGACCGCCGGCGGCTCCTGGCCTGCGCCAGGAGGGAGTCGCTCGGTCGTTGCTTCCCAGAGTGGGGGCGCTGGCACCCCAAGGGGAGCGCAGCTGAGAAATGGGGAGAGTAAGGGTCCCGTCCATGCGGGATTGACGTAAGGATCAAACAGACGTGAGGATTCAGACTAGGGTACGTAGCGCAGATGAGCATTATTTCTATTTCTGTTGTTATTGTACGTTCACTTGGATGTCGGAGAAACTACCGGAACTTTTACTTATATTGACGTTTTAATCTAGAAGAAATTAAGCTGTGCTTACATCTACTTAATATCCATACTTAATGTTCATATTTAAACTTTACATATAAATTGCTTTTTCACGGTTCACTACTACAAATAGCTAACGGTTTATTGAACATCTACCATGTGTCACGGAGTGTTCTGATAGCTTTACAGGAATTAATCCGTTTGATCCTTACGACTGATAGGAGGGAGCTGGTAGCCCACTTTACGGATGAGGAAACTGAGGTCCCGGAGCGGTCAAGTCGCTGGTGGGAAGTAGCACCGCCAAGGCGCAGCGGCTCGGAGCCCGGCCTCGGGGGGACCGCCCGCTGTGTGTCCCATCACACACGCATATGTATTGACTCTACATGCTGCACACCATTTTTTAATCGGGGGGGCATTATGACGGGTGAGGTGGGGGTGCCCCGCTGACCCCCGGCCGCTGACCTGTCCTTTCGCCCCCACAGCCCACCCTGAGAGAGCCGCCCTGCTGTTCGTGTCCAGCGTCTGTGTCGGCCTGGCCCTCGCACTGTGCGCCCTGGTCCTCAGGGTGCCGTGCGCCAAGGACTGGCGGGAGCTGCAGCTGGCGCGGGAGCGCCTGGTGCCCCGCAGCGGCGAGGCCGGGGAGGACAGCGAGGACGCGGACCAGGAGGAGGACTCCTCCAGCTCGGACTTCCCGGGGGAGCTGTCGGGCTTTGGCAGGACTCCGCACCCGCCGTACACGTCCATCGAGGCGGCGGAGCTCGCCGAGAGGATCGAGCGTCGGGAGCAGATCCTGCAGGAGATCTGGATGAACAGCGGTTTGGACGTGTCGCTGCCAAGGAACGTGGGGGCCTTCTGCTGAGCGCCGACGCGCCTGGTGCCGGCGGGCCTGGTGCCCCGGCTCCGCCTCACCTGTACCTTCCGTGAAGGAGCCTTTGTCCTCATCTACCCCCGGTGCAGCCAGAAAGCTGGGACGGGGCGTTTCACTGTGTTCACAGCGATTTCAGGCCAAGCGAGGCAGGAGGACGTCGCCGTCGCCTGCGTTTGCTCCAGCCGGGCCTGCACACTTTCACACTCACAGTTCACACTCCTCGGGCGCCGTCGTTACCGGCCGCATGATTTGGGCCCCTTCCTCCCCACACAGCCTCTGCAGACGCTGCCAGCATCCTCATTTGACAGACGTGCAGGCGGGACGTCCCCGCGTCCGGCGAAGCCACGGCTGCCCAGGGCGCAGGTGCGCTCCCCCACCGCTGCGCCGCTTCAGCAGAGCGGGGCGGCCAGTGCTGCTTCGATGGCGTGAGGACACGGGTTGCAGGCGTTCTGCTTCGGCCGGGACCGCTCCACTCCGCCCGGGGCTCAAAGGCGGCCCCAGCTCCTCGAGAATGAAGGGACCTGTGTTCCAATAAAACTTTATTTATATGCATTGGCGTCTGAATTCATTTCCACACAGGCACGTTATTCCTCCTGCAGCCTAAAATACTTACGGTCTTGCCCTTTACAGAAAACGTTCGCCAACTCCTAGTTTAGAGGATAAACCCGCGGGGCCCCCAGAGGTAGCCGCGATCGCTGCCCGGGTTGCGCAGCGAGTTCCGTGCACAGGGACCGGGTGAAGTCACCCTCCGCTCCACACCGAAAACGGGCCGGGGGGCAGGGGAGCGAGCGGGAGCAGAAGGAGTTGACACAATGCCCCTGAGACGCTGGCGGGTGAAACGGCCCCCTCACCCCCGCGGTGAGCAGTGCTTATAGCTGCCGGGCTGCAAGTGCTGTGGCCGTGTTAGGTCTCCGTCCTGCGCCCAGGCAATAATAGCTCTCCCGGCCCAACGTCCTCGTCGCCACGTCAGCCCGCACGCAGGTGTGCGTGGGTGAGGGAGGGGAGGCGGCGGCCGGGGCCCGGGCCCGGGGCACAGGAGGGAAAGTGCCAGGGCCAGCTCATGGGGGGCCCCCAGGAGATGCCGGCAGCCTCCGCCGGATCCGAGCGATGGGGGAGACGGAGACAGGCTGCCCCTCAGCCCCCGGCACCAAGGGGAAGCAGAGGAGGCTGGCTGCGGGGTCTGATGCGGGTCTCAGCAGCCAGCCCAGCTGCCCGGATGCGGTGGGGTGAGGGGGGGTCTGCAGTTTCGTGTGTTTTATTCAGTTTGTCTTAGCTCATTGGAGCTGCTATAACGAAATTACTGCAGACTGGGGGTTATAAACGACAGAACCTTACCTCCCGCCTTTGGGGAGGCGGGAAGTCCGAGGGGGGCGGCTGGCAGGTTCAGCCTCTGGCGAGGCCTGGCTTCCATGTCCGCAGATGACCATCGTCTTGCTGCGCCCTCCGGTGGCAGGAGGGCCAGGAGCTGAGGGCTCTCTCAGGTAAGGGCGCTGGTTCTGTCCGTGGGGGCTGCAGCCTCGCGACCTGGTCGCCTCCTGAAGGACCGCTGCCCCTTGCCATCCCTTTGGGCACTAGGACTTTGCCAGCGAGTTTGGGGGACACCGATGTTCCGTCTAGAGCAGGGGTGACATTCACAGGAAGTGAAGCCAGCCGTCCTGAAGCGCGCGGTTCTGGGGTGTTTCATACATTCACAGCAGCCCCTCTCTGTCCAGTCCCCAGACGTTTCCAGCGCCTGGAAACGAGCCCCGTACCTACGAAGCAGCCACCCCCTCCCTCCCTCCCTCCAGCTCCTGGCGACTACCTGTCGGCTTTCTGTGTTCCGGAAACACAGAGAGTGTTCCGGGCTGTTCCGCCAACGGCATCGCGCACTGTGTGGTCGTCAGGGACGCCCTCTCCTCAGGCTCCGCGCTTCCAGCGCCTTGTTCCTCCCCGTGGACGAGCAACACTCCGGCGGTGGACGTTCCTCCTCCGGCTCATCTCTTGGCGGCCGTCTGGGATGTTTCTGCTTTGGGCTGTTGCGAAGGTGCTGATGGCAGCATTTGCGCTGGGTGTTTTAACGGCGACACGTCATGCAAAACAGCAACTGCCGATGGACATGGGGAGGAATCCCTGTCTCCATCCAACGGAAGGAAGGGGGTGGGGCGCGGTCAGAGGGACTGGTCGAGAGGCGGCCTCGGGCGGGCGGGGAGGCTTGGCCAGGGGCTGAAGCGCGTCCCAGCCCCCAGGCCCCTGAGTCCTTTGTGCGCGGTTAGGGGACTGGAAGATGCGGGCGGCGGGGTCGGGGGGCTGCGCGTTAAGTCTGTCGTTAGAGACCGGTCTCTCCGAGGACACAGCAGGAAATGACGCGAACTCACAACTCCCTTGTCCAACGTCTCCCCAAGGCCTGTGTCCTGCCCTGAGAGGACGCTCGTCCTGCGCCCGGCGAGGCGCACGGCCCCCCGACCCAGCGCATCCCCAGTTCTCAGGCAGCAGGCCATCCCGGGCACGTAGATGCTGTCCACTGGGTGGCCGTCCCCCCGGGGTGAGGCGCGCACGGCCCTGGAGGTTCTCACTTCTCCGGCTGCAGAAAGAGCCGGCTCGCACCGACCTCGGCCGCGAGGCTCCCGCTGCCATCCGCAGCGGGCTTCCCTCCGCCCGGGCCTCCCCCGAGCCCCCGGCCCCCGCAGACCGTCCCTCCAGGCGCCTGCGAGGGCAGCTGCGGCACAGGCCCTCCAAGGCCGGCTCAGCCCTCGGCCGGTGCACGCGCGGGGGCTGCTTCACCTGCATTTTCTGAGCTCAAAGAAGACGGCGCGCTCTCCCCGGGCGGCCTGGGGTCCCGCCGGGAGTGTGGCCGGCACCGCGGCCGGCACCGCGCCCGGGGCTGAAGGACCGGCCGCTGACGGAGCGCAGCAGGGGGGCCCCAGGAGGCCCGCCCAGGTACGGGGCCGCCGCCACTGCTGTCTCTGCGTCCGTTCAGGCCGCTGGAACAGGAGCACGGGGACCGGGCCTCTGATCGGCAGAAATGTGCTTCTGACGGTTCTGGAGGCTGGAAGTCCAAGCCCGGCGGTCGGGACGCGGTGGGGGCCCCTTCCCATCCTGTCGCCGGCACCTTCCCGGCGCGTCCTGACGCGGGGTGTCCGGGATGGGTGCGCGCCCCGTGCCTGGGCTCCCCCCTCGGGCCTAGTCACCTCCCCAAGGCCTCGCCTGCTAACACGTCGCCTTGGGGGCGAAGATCCAGCCGTGAGTTTGTGGGGGACACAAACCGGCAGCCCAAAGCCGTTTCCCCACGAGCACCGTAGCCCCCCTTCCCCTGAAGCGTCGCTCTCCGCGGTTTCAGCCCCCGCTGGGGCCCTCCGTAGTCCGAGGCCCGTACGTGGAAAAGGCCAGGTTTAAACACGCCATGAGTTTTCAACCGTGTGCTTTTCCGAGCAGGACGATGAGATCGCGCGTGTCCAGCTCCGGCTCACCAGGCCGCAAACTGTCCCTTTGTCCCGCGTCTCCGCGCTGTGGACACCCCCGCGCCAGTCACCGAGCGGCCGCCAGGGCCATCAGGCCCCCGGTTGGGAGTCACAGTGCTTGTGTTCAGGGGACCCTGGTTTTACTCAGCAATGGCCCCCAAGCACGAGAGCAGTGAGGCCGGCAGCTGGGACAGGCCCGGGGTGTGGGTGGCCGGGAAGGGCTCCCTTAGAGGGAGGAGGCGCGCGTCGAGGACAGAACAGAGCCTGCGAAGGGCTTGGCGCTGGTCTCAGACACCCACTGTGGGTCCCAGGACAGATCCCCCACAGATAAGGGAGGGGGCGGCTGCACTTCTCCCGAGACCAGGCCCTCAATAAATCTCCCCTACGAGAACCTCCGTCCAGGAAGCTGACCTGGGCCTCAGGGGGCGGGCCCACAGCCTCGGGCAGTCAGACCTGCAGGCGCCCCCCGCCCCCAGCAGCAAGTGGCTTCACAGTCAGCTGTCCACACACCTGGCACCTGGGGACTCTTGGAAAGAGGTGACCCCCAAAGCCCCGCGTTCAGTTGGCCCCTGCCCTTCCCCACGGTCCCTGGACGCCAGTCCCCTGGGGCGCCAAGGCCTGCGGCCGGGCCCCCGGCACGCGGCGGGGCTGGTGAGTGAGTGCTCTCGTCCACGTCCCCGGCTGCTCGGCTCCCAGCGGTTCCCGTTGTCTAGCGGGGGGACCTCCTGACAGGCACCCCACTTTGAAGCCTTCACCGCACCCTACGCCCGGGAAGCGCGTGACTCTGTCCCCGCCCTGGCTCAGGGCTCCTCCCCCGCTGTGTCGCCCTCTGGTCTCTGCCTTGGTCCTCGCCTGGTCTCGGGTGTCTGTGCCTCAGTTTCCTCACCCGGAACACAGGCGCAATGATGCTGCCTCTCTCTGGGGGTGTTGAAGGTGGCTGTGCTTCACACCTAACAAGAACAACAGGGAATTTTATCACCCTCTTCCTCCTGCGCGGCAGCCCCCCGCAGGGCCGCGGCCACGGCCACGCCATGTCTCCTGCGCTGGGGCACGAGGCTGCACTCAGGCGGAGTAGGAACAAGCATCCGGGGAGAAGAGGCAGCCCCCTCAGCCCCGCCGCGGGGAGAGGTTCGTGGAAGAGAAATGGCTTAGCCTGCGGGGCTCAAAGCCAAGTGCCAAGGCCTGACCCTCTGCGAGTCCTCAGCCAAGTCCATTGTGAAGTCTCCCGCACACGGACTTCAAAAGAGCCATGCCCGGCCCTGGCAGGGTGGCCGTGAATTCGGAACTGTGGCCGTTTGGGCTGAAGAAGCCCATTGTGAGCCCGGCCGCCAGCACAGCGCTGGCTGGCCCGACTCCACCCCCGGCTGGATGGCAGCGCCAGAGATCCAGTCCTAAATAAACACTCCAACTAAGTGTCCCGTTCGCTGGAAGCCGTTCTGCGCTAGAGCCGGAAATAAGGCGAGAAAGAGCCGCGATCCCCGCCCCCCACATGGGGAGGGCTCCGGGCGCCCGGTCCCCGCGGCCCCTCAGGACCCGGGTGCAGCGTGCGGCGCCCGGGGGGCGGGTGCGACGGTGGCCACCAGCCGCATCTGCAGGACAGGGCCCGGCCACAGGTGCTGGCCTGCGCTGCCACCCGCTACCGGGGCCCGGAGCCCCACGGTTTGGCTCTTCGCGATCCACTTACACGTTTTTCCAGAAATACTGCGAATACATTTTCTCTTCCTTAGGGTTTCCTTTGCTTTTTTTATCCTCACCCAAGAACCTTTTTTTCCCCATGGCTTTCCGGGGGGTGGGGGTGGGGAGAGAAACATCAGTTGGTTGCCTCTCGTATGTGCCTGGACCAGGGACGGATCCTGCTACTCACGCGTGTGCCCTGACCAGGGATCGAACTCACAACCCTTTGTTCTGTGGACGACACTCCAAGCAACTGAGCCACCCGGCCAGGACACTTAGGATTTTCTTTATACCATTTTCTTTTCTCGGGTTTACTTTATTGTAAAAATACAGCATGTAATACACACAACATAGAAAACATGCGTTACTCCACTGTGCACATTTAGCGGTAAGGCCTCCA